GTTTTAAGTAATGATAGCATGAGGCCCAATCGCCTTGAAAGGCCTTTGAAGCAACAACTTTGGTTTTGAGGAAGAAAGATTTTTTTCTTCTAAAGCAGAATCACTCAAGCCGATAAGCCTGGATAAATCGGGAAGTTATGACACAGGTATATCGCAGTATCTCAAAGCTTCATTTGAAATAGCTCTTATGATAGCAAAGCAAAAGAAACCTCATACTATCGGTGAAGAATTAATAAAACCATGTGTCCTAAAAGCCACGCAGATAATTTCAGGAGAAGATGCAGATCAAAAAATGAAGTCTATTTCTCTTTCGAATAACACAGTCAAGTGTAGAATCGATGATATTGCATCAGACATAAAGTCACAAATAATTAACAAAGTAAAATTATCGCCATTTTTTTGCCATTAGTTGCGATGAATCCACCGACGTGGTTAATTGTGCACAGTTAACAATGTTCGTTACCTTGGCCGAGATATCATTCAAGAAAAGATTTGTTAGACGTCTATTGGCCAGCTTGCAGCTTTGATGTGACGCCCATGGATTACCTCCTATGGGGCACTGTTTAGCGCCGCTGTTACACTAACGATCCTCAAAATGTTGATGCTTTTAAGGAAAATATCCGTCGAACTATTGATGAAACAGACCCAAAAACCATCGAAAGTGTGCTTCAAAATTGGGATAAGAGGATGGACTACTGCCAGGCCAGCAGCGGCATTCATCTAACTGAAATTGTTTTTTACAAATAATCGGAAGGTGTATTCTTTTGCATAAAGGATCGAGTGTTACATATTATTGAAGAGTGTAGCTCTAATACCAATTAAAAAAAACATTATGCATGGCCCACTCTTTATTTACAGCTTTACCGGTCCCAAATTTTTTGAAGAGCTGGATCCAAAACGTACTGAGAATATGGCTAAAATAATAATGATGCCCAGCGCCAGTTTATTAGTGTAACACGTTGTAAGATCCTGAATAACTTTTTCACGAGGCCGGTAAGATAGGCTTGAGAATTCCATCTCTGAACAAAACTTCATCCACGCAATTTTGGGCCACCCTGTGTACTAAAATGGTAATTTTGGTCAAGCCTACAATGCAGGTGATGACAAGAACGTAAATCCCAAACGTCTGATTCTAACTGTAAACAGTACCTACAATACTCTAATGGGGCTCAATACTATAACTTCCGGTTCTACGTATTAAGATCCATAACACGGTTATCTTATCTTTATTAGCCACTTAGACACACAATAGTACATGTGGTAAAAATATATAAATAAGCTGTATAATATAAGTAAAATGTAAAACAATATAAATAAAAATCAATATAATATAACCATTTGGTCATTTCCATCTTTACATACTCAAGGTTTCACATTCATATACTTAGATATGTTATAAACTTATTTGACATACTTTTTGAATCGAAAATAATTAATGATATGCAACTCAGAAATTTTGTAACAGCTTCCATAAGAAGAGAAAAAAAAGCCTATATAGAACTGCAGCTTAAAGAAGGTAGAAGTTCCCGTGATTGGTGGCGAACCATCAAACAACTAGGTGTACATAATCCTGTTAAAGATACTTTAGAATGCACATTGCAACCTGATTTAGTGAACAAATATTCCCTAAATTCCATTCCAGATAATTGTGTGGATACCAGTATTATTCATCATTACAATAGCAATGTTTTGCCATCTATAGACAACTTGTTTCAGTTAAAACCGGTCACGGAGGATAAAATATTACAGATTTTCAACAAAATAAAATCTCAGGCGCTTGGACTAGATGGTTTGAATATAAATATGTTAGCTCTAGTGTTTCCTTTTTGTTCTAAAGCGATTACTCATATAATTAACTATTCGCTTGAAAAAGGGTTAGTTCCTAAAATTTGGAAAGCCGCATGCGTTAGGCCTCTTGCTAAAATTGATGCTCCGGAAGGACCTGATGATTATAGACCAATTAGTATCCTTCCAGTGTTATCAAAACTATTAGAAAAAATTGTATATGAGCAATTGATGCAGCACGTCACTACCTTTAAGATAATTCCATCTACGCAATCGGGGTTTCGAAAAAACCACAGCACCGTAACAACTCTGCTCGATGTCTGTGACGACTTCATAGGGGCAATAGACAATTCTAAAGTTACTACTGCTGTCATGATAGATCTAAGTAATGCCTTTGATTGCCTCAACCATGAACTACTTTTTGCAAAATTTCATTATCTTGGCTTCTCCGATAGTTCGATTAATTGGTTTCGCAGTTATTTTCATGAACGCATTCAGCAGGTAAAAATCGGTGACATCTTATCACAGGAGGGTACTATCTCCAAAGGTATACCGCAGGGGTCTATTCTTGGACCTCTTCTGTTTTCTCTTTATGTAGCCGACTTAGATAAAGTCACTAAATACTGAAAATTACATACATACGCCGATGATACACAGATTTATCTATCTTACAACCCTGCTATGTACATTGAAGCGAATGAGATGCTGTCTGAGGATTTAAATAGTATATGTGTGTGGTATAACAAACATAGCTTATGTATTAACCCTAGAAAGTCGGCTATCATAACTATTAAATCTAAATTCAGCAAATTCAATAGTGAATTAATAAAGCTGTGTATTGGAGGTGATGAAGTTTGCCACAAGACATCGGTTCGCAACTTGGGCATCACATTTGATGAGAACCTGTGCTTCCATGAGCATATCACCAAAGCTGTTCAGGGTTCCTATGCTAAGTTAAAGTCAATTTATAGCTATAAAAATGTATTTTCCAAGCAGACCAAGGTTAAGCTGTGTGACTCCCTTATCCTAAGTAAACTTGAATACGGGGACCTTGTCTATGGTCCATGTCTAATACAGAGCGAGGCATACAGACTTCAAAAAGTGCAAAACAGCTGCATAAGATTCAGTTTAGGTATTCAAAGGCGGGAGAGGGTATCTGATCATATTAAAAATATTCAATGGCATACTATGCGACAAAGGTGGATACTGCATCTATTATCATTGGTCCACAATATTATGATAAATAAAATGCCTCTTTATTTGAAGAACAAGCTTACCATGAGATGTGATCATCACTCAGCGAACCTGCGTTTTGTAGGATATACTCTTGACTTGCCTCGGCATCGAACAACCCAATTCAGAAAGAGCTTTTCATATGTGGCGCCCGATTTCTACAATAAAGTACCTCAATCTTTGAAAACTTTATCTGTGTCCAGCTTTAAAAGAAAAGTTAGGCTCTTTGACTTTGATGACATGTAGCATGTATTTTTTTTGATTTCATCTAGCATGTATTTTTATGTAATTTTATTTTTATATTTGTTTATTTGTGCATGTTTTCTCACTCGTCACTTTTCATTTGTTTGTGTTTTGCTTACATATTTGTTACTGTTTACTTTTAATTTTTATATCTTCCGCCATATACCTAATATTTTCTTTTTTTAAAGTTACTTCTAATCACGGTTTTTGATTCTGTTACGTACTCTGTTGATGCACGTTTCTCTTTTGGTCTTTTGGTCATTATACCATGCTACGATTCTGTAAAAAAAAAATGTTTCTGCTTTAAATGTTATCTTCAATGTATTTTTGTTGTATTTGCATGTACTTGAATTTTTTTTTAGCCCTGGTTGGTTCTGAAAAACAGCTTGTGCTGATGTAACCCGCCAGGTAAAATAAAGGCCATTTATTATTATTATTATTATTATTATATTATATTGTACGAGGATTTTTAGAAATGTATTGTGGTATGTAACGGGTGATTTTTTAAGAGGTATAGGATTTGATTTAAAAAAAAAACACAAAAAATTTGAAAAAACGATTAAATCCTTATTTGAGTCGATGGAATGGTCGATATAATTTAATGTTTAAAGATTATTTCATGTAAATGTTGGCCGCGGCTCCGCTTTAGATGGCCCATGCGCAAGGTCCACTTTTGGCACACTCTCTCCAACATATCGGCCGGTATCTCACGAATAAATGCTTCAATATTGGCTTCCAGTGCGTCAATCGTTGCTGGTTTATCCCTGTAGACATTAGCCTTAACATGGCCCCACAAGAAATAGCCCAACGGCGTTAAATCACACGATCTAGGCGGCCAATTGACGGGCCCCATACGTGAGATAAACTGTTCACCGAACTGGCCTCTCAATAGAGCCGTTGTTTCGTGTGCGGTGTGGCATGTTGAAACCACATGTCAGCCAAGTCCAGCTCTTTCATTTTAGGCAACAGTGATTTTTTCGGGATGCATTGGTAGCTCTTGCAATGCTTCTGGCTGGTCTTCATTCCAGATGCGGCAATTCTGCTTGTTAACGTACCCATTCAACCAGAAGTGGGCTTCGTCGCTGAACACAATTTTTCGATAAAAATGTGGATCTTCCTCCAACTTTGCAAGCGCCCATTCACCAAATGGGAAACGTTGTGGGAGGTCGTGTGGCTTCAATTCTTGCACCAGCTGTAACTTATAAGGTTTTACATCCAGATCCTGTCGCAAAATATTCCACGTAGTGGAGTAACAGAGGCCCAATTGCTGCGAACGGCGGCGAATCGACATTTCACGGTCATCACTAACACTGGCGGATACAGCCGCAATATTTTCTTCAATCCTCACTCTACTCTGCGTGTTGGTGGTTTAATGTCCAATAATGTAAACTGGGTTCGAAACTTAGTCACAAGCTTCCGAATAGCTCCCTCAGTAGGCCGACCAAATTGCCCATAAATTGGAAGCAGTGCTCGATGCACTCTCATAACCGAGCATGCATTTTGATAGTAAAATTCAATAATTTGCAAGCGTTGTTCGTTCTAAGTCGATTCATGGTTAAATTATAGACCAAACTGAACAAGTTTGACAATGACACAAGACACGATTCACGCGTCATCTGTCAAAAACAGTGTTGCCAAAAAGATACTAGCAAAAAATCACCCATTATATGAATGATTTTTAAATGTTGGCTTCTAGTATTGCAATTTTGATGCGCATGAATATTTGAAAACAAGCTATTATATTTCTTAACGTTAGTTACACGTTCCAAAAAGTGAATTCGATAAACTTTCTGAGGGGTCTTTTAAAACATTAAACTCGAAACCCTTTGAAATATTCAACCTAAAACCTCTTGCTTAGGCCTTGATGGATTGCAAAGTTTAACCAATCTGACTACCTAAATCCTAAATCGTGCTTAAATCCCCTGAATAACACAGGGAACTGCGTTTCGCGGAAACGTTGTTTATTTTGATGAAGGCGGTGACAGTAACGCACCATTAGCGGCATTTTTAGGCCGAATTGCATTAGCAGGGACAAAGTTTGCTCTGGCACTCGTAAAGAACTCAAAGTGAATTCCGTAGCGGCTGCTATTGTTTGGAATGCCGCGGTATTTATAGTGGAAACTTTTTAATAATGAACTTCTCGAAACC